GAGGAGGTGTATATAAGAGTGTGAGAGTGTGTAACTGATTATCTTACTATCTTTAGAACATAAAAAGAAACATCCGCCCAAATATTTTTAAAGGTGCTCAGGAAGATAGACCAAAAATAATCAATTGTGGATCTTTTAATGATAATCACTCTAGTTACAACCAGCATGATTCCAGGCTCATCAACCATATAGGCTGCCATTTAAGAGATTCTGACTCATAACAATCCTACAACAGCAACTCATTGCTGCTGTGTTAGAACTGACTCATAGTTGACTCTCCAGTGAATTTTGAGAGGCTGTAAACTGCATCAGAGGAGACTGTCCATCTTACTTCTGAGGGGCATTTGGTGGATTCAAACCAGTGGACTCCTTAACCACTAGGCCCCCAAAGCTCCCATAGCAATCTTATAGAACAAATGGTCCCATACAAAGGCTCCTTCCTGGCCCACGATACAAACAAATATTAATATATTGCATACCAAGGTAAACTGCCGTTTCATGCCATTTAAGGTCTCTTAAGAGACTTCCAAACCATGAAAATGCCTTTCATCATACTGTGCCACATCTTTTGCTTGTTTTCTATATTCTCTACTTCACTAAACTTTACAAGCTTCAGGTCAGCCTTTCCAAACAGAAGCCCTCACTATACTAATACTCTAATACTGGGAGAAATAAAAAAAGGAAGAAAATGTTAACTCATCAGTTCAACCGTACTTGGGGAGGGTCTCCTGGCTTTTAAAAAAGAGTTTTCTTAAGTAAATCACTTTAAAAGCATTCCACTCCACCATCTGCTATTCACCAAAAAGGCACCAAATGCCAAAACTGAAATTCTGAAACTCTGACCACCTGCAAGACAGTTTGAATTAATAATCCTAATATCAATATTTTGTGTTTGTTGTTGTTTTAAAGGTACATGCCATTCAGTTTATTACAGGGTAGATCCTGGATTTTAGACACTACCAGTTCTTCTGGTAGTCTATTCTTCCTCAGCCATGTCTGACTGTGGACATCCACTGTAAAGATTTTGATGTTGTTGTATCTCAAGACCCATCTTGCATCTATTGTCTATAATGGCAAAGACCCTCTGAGAACAGATTAGCTACCCTGGTGTGGTATTTTTTATTATTAAAACTGGCTTCCTTAGCCATTTAAATTTTTTAGATAGATGGGAGGGAATACACAAATAGGGTATATCAACCTATCCACAAGGGGATTGGCTATCCATACCTTTAAACTGAATGTATCAGCAGCAGAATAGAAGAAACCTTGGTTAACAGAAGCAGCAAGAGAATATAACCCATCCTTTGGGACCATAGATTTTTTTTAACTAGCCAGACTAGGACCTATACAAGCAACAGCCAGGCAGCCACAGTAGAGAATCAGAGGCCTAACATGAGATGAAGTAGACACTGGACTGCTGCACCACTGAACCAGAGCTAGGAGCCATTGCCCAAGTTTGTCAGAGCACTGAGTAGGGGAGAACCTTAACTGACAGGACTCAGAGTTTTGTAACACTGGCCTAAAGCCATAAGGCTCAAGGCTGAGGTGCCTGCAAACATATTTCAGAAGCTGTCCAGTCTTCTGCTAACCTGAAGTATATCCTTTTGACTTCTCCAATATAGTTCTGTATGTCTGTGAGCTATTACATCAGTTTTTTGGACCCAGGAAAGCAGTAAGATTGGGATGAGCAGAAAGAGGTGCAGGTGCATGGGGGACATGTCTGACCTCATGTGAATTGGCTTTTTGTTGTGGATGTTGTGGATGTTGTTGATGTTGTTGACAGGGACAGTTCCCCTTTGTGACATTTGTAAACCTCAGATATGGCTATCCCCATGCAGCCTTTGCTCTGTTTAAACACACATAGGCCAAACCTTAGAGAAAAGGAACATTGTCCTTGGGTCATAAAGTTAGGTCAGCATCAAGGTACCTCAATTGTCAGTGGGTATTATGACTAGACAGCCTGCATGCTTTCTTATGGGGACTGAAGATGCTTAAGGCACTGATGTCCACAAAGGGTTGGTGCATCACAAAGAAGCAGCCATTTATCTGGAACTTAAAATCAGTTTCACCCCAGTAATCTGACTCTGTGATTCTTTGACTTCCTTTATTCTAGCCTTCCTACATTTGATCTAACTTAAATATTAATGCAGCAAACACAAAACAAACTGTCTCCTTCATCTTCAATAATAGCCTCTATATACAAGTGGAAGGAGCTGTCGTGGCCTAGTAGTAAGGAGCTGAGCTGCCAATCCAAAAAAACAATCTCCTCTCTCTTTCTGCTGCTGCTTGCCAAAATGTTTGGGTTCACCTTCAATTTTCCATAGTTGTCTTCCCTCCTTTTTCTTCTTTCCCTTTCTCTTTAACTCTTTTGCATGGCATATCTCTACCTTTCCTCAACCATTTCTCCTTTACATTATCTTAATAAACTGGTTTTCACTTGTTTTGTTGGAGAAAAAAAAATCTCCTGCCATTCAATTTACAACCTCTGAAAACCCACTGGTGGGCCAGTTATGGGGGAGGTTCCAATTTGATAGCACATAATAACAACATATGCAAGTGAACCATAAGTTTTTTTATATTTAGTTTGAGAAAAGTGATTCAAAAGTTCATTGTCATTGAGTAAGAACCAACACACAGCTGATTCTCCACTGGGTTTCTGAAGCTGTAAACCATATGACAGGAGACTGCCCATCTTTTTTTTTCCCCGCAAGGGCTTGAATTGCCAGAAAGGCATGGGCTTTGGGTTAACAGCACAAATCCCTACAGACCAGACCACCAGAGATCCCTACTTGATAACTAGGTGGACTTATCTGAATAAGCCTAAAGCAGACTCAGAATTATGTGACATTATATAATAATGCTTTCTATTATTTTTGCTTTTCAGAAAACTTATACATAAGAGGAATATTTTTAAGAGTCTGAGGCCAAACTAGTCAAATGTGAAAATTTCAGATCATTAAATTAAGTAGGTGGGTTTACTGAATTCTCTTGCACCTCTGAGTATAGACACAGCCTTGCGGCTTAAGTGGTACTCACAGTGACAGTGAGAAATTAACAAGATCTTCTGGAAAGCTCACATTTGAAAGAGACATCATGGCTGTAAAGGTGGAGGGTCAGTGAAAGATCAATTGATACAGTGTCTGTGGCAATGGACTCAAATGTGTTAGGGATAAAAAGGATGGTGCAGAACAGGAAGGGGTTCAGATCTGTTGTTCACGGGGTCACTATGAGTCATACTCACCTCAACAGAGCCTAACAACAATAACCCAAATTTAGAGGCAGTGATGCATGGTGTTTTGGGATCTTCCTGGATCAAAGACTTTTGAATTCAAATGTAAATTTTTGAACCCCTTTAGAAAGTAAAGATTGGTGGCCAAAGTATCAACTAAAACACGTGGCTTTCCACTTCTTTTTCAGGCAGCTGACAAAGCAAAAGCACTCGGGACCAATGGGCCCATCAATCAAAGGAGGCAGTGCTGCAGAGGACAGTACCAACAGAAGACACAGAGGGCCAGAGTGGTTCTGTGTATTCTTTGTTTCCCTTAACTGCTGCAAAGTGGCAACTGGAGCCTGGCAAGCTTTTCCCAGAAGCTAAACACTTCATAGACTCTAAACAGAGTCAACATATGACTTTAAACACAGTCATAGATTACTGCCCACACTACAAACCTACACTCTTTTGAGATGAGAGGCCCTGAGTTCACCATCCATACTATAACAAGATAGGTTCATCCTGGGAACACGGAGTCTATGATTACTCCCACACAGACCTGTACCTCTGAATTCCTCCTCTCCTAGTCCGCTCCTTGATCTCATCTCCTTCACCTCTATTATAATGATGGATGTGGGCAGAGAGGGCTCAGCCCTGGAATAAAGTAGGCAAGAAATGAAAGTAGAAAAAAGAGAAGAAAAATCAAGAACCACAGTACAGACATGAAAACAAGTTCTCAATGAAAGATGTGGCTCTGTGGACGATCTAGAGACAATGGGGAGGAACCTCCACATCGAGGGCACCTTGTGGAGGAGAAAGTGCAGCTTTAAAAGCTACTAAGCGACCACCTGGTTCAGGAGAAATGTTCAGTGCCAAAAAAAAAGTTTATTTAAGTCTTAATTAAGTCCTCAGAACAAGAATAAGTGTGCAGAAATCTTCTCTCACCTTTTAGGAAGTAGAAAAAGATGATGAAACTCTAAAAAATGGATAAATGTAAAAGAAAGATATTCACACAATAATGAGTTTGAAAAGCTGGAGCCATTCATGTCTGCTCAGCTCACACAGTGTCACAGCCCGCACTATGCCACACAGAACTGGACACCTCGTCAAACTTGGAGAACACAACTCACAGGCTATCTGGGCAAAGACACCCTAAAAAGGAGGAGCCTGTCTTATTAGCTAATGAAGCTTACAGTGATTTTGCAAAGGTATACACAATTTATTTCACCTGGGAATTCTAGCCTGACTTCATTTTCTAGTACTTCTTTAGTTGGGAAGTTTGTATTCATAAATATCCCTGAACCTAACTGACTGAAATATCTGTGATAATTCAAAGAGTTCCAGTCTAGAAGAGGGGTCCACAGATCACAGCCCACTGGCTAAAAATGTTTTCCATTTTTAAAAGGTTGAGGAAAAAAGCAAAAGGAAAATGAAATCTTGAATTACACAAAATTCCAATTTAAGTGTTCATAAACAAAACCTTTGGTCGGAATGCCGTCGTGCTTATTCATTTCTACATCGTCTATGGCTGCTCTCTGACTAGAGGTGGTGCTGAGTGACTGGAAAGCAGGCCAAATGGCCCACAAGATGCAAACAGGTATTAGCTAACACAATATGGAAAATGTTTGCCCACACCTGGTCTAGATACTCAGCCACTTAACAATCCTAACTTTGACCTCTTCTTATCCCAAAGTGTTAGCACAGAATTTTTATTTTCTAAAGACCGAGGTTTGGGTAGAAAGTCTGTGGAGAGGAGTGCCACACCCCATCTCCACAACAGAAGACTCACCAGTAGAAGTGCTCCTCCACCATTTTGGTCACCGCTCTGGAGACAGCTCTTTCGTGAGGGCCAAGGTTTTTGTTTAAGTTCACTCCAAGCTTCTCTTCCAGAAAATCAATTATGAACTCTGTGCCAGAAACTTTCTCATTATTATATTCAATCCAAGGCATTTTCCCTTGAGCAGACAGTTTTCCACCAAAATAATTCTGAGCAGATTAAGTTGGGAAAAGAGAAAAGCAATGTTTTATTTATATACTTCAGTGTGATGAACAGAAACAAACATTGCAACTTTATGTTTTTAGTGACTATACTTACTATTCAAGTGAATGAATTCAGCACATAAACTCTTTAAGAGACTAAATGGTTACTTGAGGGGAGAAAAACAAAAAGGATGAATTACCTTAAAGGAAAATACCATTTTACTTCCCTAGATTTTTTCATTGTGAACTGTGACTTCATGTAAAATAGAGAACCTCAGAATGGCAGCCCCTGGGAGGAAAGGGAGTTAAATGATTCTAAAAGTAGCCTAATGATCCAAAACATGAAATTAAACAATGAGGAGGCTTGTTATAACCAGGGTGTTGACCAAAAACCACAGTGAAAAATTGAATACTTTACATATGACTAAGGCTTTAGGACATGACACTGTAACTTCATGGTCCCAGAAAGTTAAACACTCAAATGTAAAAAAAGCATATACCTCAGAATCAACTACCAAATACAAAGGCAAACTCAGTACATTAGAGGACAGAGCAGAACTGGGTCCGGAGGGTCTTCAAGGCTGTAAATCTTTACAGAAGCAGACTCCCACTCAGGGAAAATACAGGGAACCTGGAAAATACAGGTTCCAGGGCCAAAGCCTAGTAGCTCACAATCCCAGTATGAGGGTCCAGAAATCTTGTGTTTTGACAATTTCTCCTTTTATTCACACATTTATTTGTCACTTAGTGTCTCTGAGGATTCTGATTCCAGAAAGAGGTAGGTTTGGGGCAAGTGGTTCAAACATTTTACGAACATACAGAGCACATATTTGCTGCCTCCAAACACTCACATTCATTGTCATTAACTCAGTCTGGACTCATTGTGATCCTCTACTGGGTTTCCAAAGTCGTAAACTATAATATAAGGGGACCGCCCACCTACCTTGATGCCCACCCACACGCACTTCCTTGGTGGTTCTGAATGCCCAGAAAAGCAACCTTCTGGTTAGCAGTGCAATCCGCTAAGGACTAAGACTTCAGATGTTGTTGTGAGATACTGTTGAGATGAAATCAATTCATACCTGACCCACCAGTAGGCTTTCAAAGACAATAACATATACAAGAGGAGACTGTTGGAATCAAACTGGACACTTTAGGGTTGGCAGCACAACTCTTTACCACTAAGCCACCAGAGCGCCCCCATGTGCTGGCTGGTATATAACAGCCAAGATCTTGCTACATCAATGAAGGGAAACTGTTTGGTAATGATTCCATTTACCTAATAACTTTTCTCAGTAAATTTGGACCTTCTGGGTGATTTTCAAACCTGAATCAATTGTGTTGGTGGTCTGTTCAGTGTAACTTGGATTACTATAACCTCTTCATATTTCATAAAAGGAGACAGTTCAGATACTGTACAATAACATAAAGGAACAGTTACATCCAGGCAATAGAATGTCATGTAATCACTGTTTTCCATTTGTATTTTTTTAATTGTTTGAAACCTTTATAAAGTCCACATGTCATTTATATATGACCAGAAAAAAGACAGTAAAGGGGGATTTTTTTATCTTTAAAAAACATTAGTCATATTCAAAGAACCTCTTTGTATATATAACTATATTTTTGCAACTATATCTGTAATTATTCCAATATAAAATATTAATAAACTGCCAGTAGTATCTTGATTTTATTTTGTTTTAAAAATAACTGTGCCCAAAAAAACCCAACATCTGTGTCAATTATATTTGCATTTAAAAAAAAAAAAAGAAAGCCTTGTGAGTTCCTAGTAATGGTCATCAAATATTCATTCCAATCTCACTTAGGTTAAAAAATAAATTAAAAAAAAAAACACAACAGTGTCAAGTATAAGAGCAGGTTATTCTGAACACGGCCTTTTCAGCTGTTTTAAAAGGCAGAGTTCAAGGAAGAGCAGAGGATGGGGCTGCCCAAGCCGAGGCCAAAACACCTCTTTGCGGATCCACCCAGCACCTCTCAGGCACCACCTGCATCAACACAGGCCTTCTCCTCCCCTACACAGGGTACTCAGGGCACCCCAGACAGACATACTGTCCCCTTCTAAACCATCAAACCATTTCCTTTTGCTTGGAATCTCTGCAACCTCATGAATATCCGCTCCATCTACTTTTCATAGAGACCTCACAGACGGAAACACATCCTGGATTATTACTTAAAAAAAAAAGACTTACAGGAAATAATTCTTTGAAAAGAGAGATAAGCTCTCTCAAGCTAGCCAGCTGCCATCATGTCAGCTCGACCCATGACGACCCCATGTGCATCAGCAGTACAAAGCCCTGTGCTCCACAGAGTTTCAAATGTTGTCTTTTTGGAAGTAGATTGCCAGGTCTTTCTTCCCAGGCACCTCTATAGGAACTTAAAATTCAACTTTTTCATTAGCAGTCATGAGCACTGATGCTTGTACCATTCACGGAGTCCTCTCCTCCTTGAAACCCACTGCTATCAAGGGGATTCTGAGTCATCGTGACCCTCCATTATGACTCCAAAGCTGTGTATCTTTTTTAAAGATAGCTTCATTAGAAGAAATACATTGTGAGACAGGTCATTTCTCCAAGAGTAAAGAGGTGGAGAAAAGACCGAGACTGTAAATCTTAACTGAAGGAAAATGCTTCCAGTAAGTTTGAACTGCCTACCTTTTTGTTAACAGCTCGACACTTAACCTATCCTGCCACATGGATTTCTCCTCACCTCTGTAGCATCTTCAGGCTTCACAGCTGAGTGTGTGCCAGGCTGCCCGAATAACACTAACTAAAGGCAGTTGCTCTGACACATAGACAAAAATAGGTCACTGGTAAAGAGAGGTCACCCATTGTCAGCTGGAAGTGGCTAACAGCTGACCCTCCAAAGGGCTTTCAGATGAGGGATTGTCCATCTTTCTCCCACAGAGTGGCTGGTAGATTCAAATCAACAAAGAAGTACAACCGTTGGGTTAGCAGTACGACTAACTCCCTATGGACTAGCAGAGGCACTAGGACTCCAAAGCTATTTGTCTGTTAGTTTGTTGAGTTTGGGAACAGTCAAAGCTTGATGGCTTGAAGGAAATAAAAGAAAGGGCAGAATTTCCAGGCAGCTGCTGTGCAACTACTATTTAACAGAACTTCACAGATGCTCAAAAGACAATGCAGAACACATAATTCTAGGTTCAGACACTAACTGTCCCAATGCTGTCATAGCTGAAAAACAATCTGGTCAAGAGTGGTGATGGAACAGTAACTGGTGGGAGCTGGGAAGTATATCTTCCTTCCATCTCAGTCTCTCAGGAACACACTCCTTCAAGAGCTGACTGCCAACACGTGGCTGAACAATGATCGTCAACAACTAAACAAATGTGTTTATTCTTTTGGCAGTCTATGGAATGTTCAATTCTGATCAAATGTATTCAGCTTTGTCTGTTTTTAGTGTTACTTGCTATTATCTCCTCTAGCTTACAGCTTTCTGCAAATCTCCCTGATTCTCTCCTTCTCTCCACTCACCCTGCCAGAAGACCACTTATGTTTCTCAGATACCCCATAGTTCCCCTGCTCCCTCACCAAATGTCTGGACTCAGGGGCAGTCCACCACACTCCCAGAACTCAAGAGGATGTAATGTACCCAGGCCTCTCTCAGATAGAAAGTGCCTCAGAAAGGATGGGCCATCGGAGTCAGCGGTTGCTATACTTGCCCCATCCTCTGCCATCCTCATAAGCCCCACCATGTTCAAGTCCATTGTTGCAGTCACTATGTCAGTTCATCTTGTTGAGGCTCATCCTCCCTTCTGCTGACCCTCTACCTTTCCCAGCATGATCCCCCCTCCGGGCAACAAGCCCAAAGTATGGGAGGTGACATTTCACTACCCTTGCCTCTAAGGAGAATCCTGGTTGCTCTTCTTCAAGACAAATGTGTTTATTCTTTTGGCAGTCCATGGAATATTCAATACTCATTGCAATATCATTTCACTGCCATGAAAGATATTTTGACTCGTAGTGACCTGTGGAACAGAGTAGAACGGCTCATAAGATTTCCAGGCTAGTAAGTCTTTCTAGAAGCAGGCTATCTCATCTTTTCCCCACAAAGCATCTAGTGGGTTTGAACCATGGATCTTTTGGTCAGCAGCTGTATTCTGTATTCAGTAATTACTTTGCCACCACCCCCTCCTCCTTCTCATCACCATCAAGTAGGGACTAGCTCAGCCCTTCAACAGGTTTCCACGGCTCTAAATAGCATGGGAGATGACTATCCCTCTGAGAAGTCCCTGGAGTATTCAAACCACGAGAGAGGACTTAGCAGCACAGCCCCCTATGGACTTTGCCACCAAGGTCCTTAATCAGATTAGAGCCGTCAAAAGCTTGGTCAGATGAGAAGGCCTCTCTCCCCATCTTCCAGCTGGTCTACTAGAAACTAGAAGCCCCTATGACATGAGTGAGATTACTGTGACCACACTCTTCCAGTGCTGATCTTTGTAAGAGCTCTAAGATGAAATCTGAGGAAAGCAGCCCCTTGGAGGAATGGCAATAAACTGGAAGAACCGTCGTAGTTTCAGGATGCCTAAAGGTCAGTGCTCCTTAGAGGCATGGATGGCAAAGCTTTGTCTCACACATTTTGGGTATGGTGTTAAAAGGGGCTATTCTTTGGAAAGGGACATCATGCTTGGAAAGGTTGAGTATCAGTGAAAGAGAGGAAGACCTTCAACAAGATGGACTGATACAGTGAGTGTGGCAATGGGCTCAAATGTGTTGAGAATGATAAGAATGGTGCAGGATAGCACAGGGTTCAGATCTGGTGTACATAGAGTCATACTTGACTCAACAGCACCTAACAACAGCAAGGGTCCCTAACTTCCTTTTCTGAAACTCTCTCAGCAGGATGCAAATAAGGGTCTAGATTTCACCTCTTGCCCAGTACAAATTCCCAGGCAGGAAGACTGATGTTACTAGTAGATGGAAGTTCTCAGACCAGAGTAAATAGACAGACACTTGAGGAAGAAGCTGCACTGCAATCCCAAAGGCACGCAGTTCAAATTTACCAGCTGCTCCATGGGAGAAGATGGGCAATTTCCTTCTGTGTGATTTCTTGCCTCTGAAAACCTGCTTAAGTGTCAGTTCTGACTTGAAGGCACACAATAAATTACTGTAAGATAAATGCAGGAAAGTGAATATATGCATGACATGAGCAGAATTACTGGGACAAACAAAAAAGTTAAATCAGCAGGAAAAAAATTCTCTAAGGAATAAAGGAAGAGATAATAGTATAAGGCAAGTAAAACTATCAGATGACAAATATAAAAATAAAGAACCCAACAAATGAGATTAAGAAGCACAATGCATATTAGGAGAAAAGAGGGTGGTACAAGAGAAGCATAGGGAGAGGAATTCTATCACAAAAAAGAAAATAATTAAGTGATAAAAATAAAAAGGAAAATAAATGCAGAAGAGCTAATATACAGGTAATAAGGGAAAGAGGAGAAACATTCAAATAAGAGGAAATAGATTAATAAATCAATAATATCCAAATAAAAAAACAGAGGAAAGGCTTCTAATTAAAAGAGTTTATAAAGGACTGGTGGTGGTGGTGGTGATGTTGAATGCCATCGAGTCGCACACGACTCATTAGCAACCCTATGAACAAAAGATCTGAAGTCTTTCTATAACTATCTTTCCTCAAAGTTCATTGAGTTTCCAGAGGTATGTTGTTTAGGAAGTGGCTACACAATAAATAAAAAGTCATATTATAGTGAAATTTAATAATAATAATAATAATAAAAGCAAATTCTAGATACTTCCAGAAAGAAAGAGGAGACACAGATTAACACTATAATTTTTCCACGGCAACATTGATGCAAAAATATTATAGAAAATGTAATTAAAGTAAGTCATTATAATATAAAGAACTCTAAACTAAACCTTCGATTAGCAAACAAAAATATAAACTTAAAATATTATCATACATGCCTATATATACAATACAAAATAAATGTTAGCAATAAATCATAATAAAATATTAGTCACAATAAATGTGAATGGATTAAACTCACCTATTAAAGGACTCTCAGACTGGAAAAAAAAAAATTAATTGTTTACAAAAGCCAAACATAAAATCTGAACTAAAACCAATCCTGGAAAAGCTACAACCAGGAGAAGATAACATAGATGAATGGGACCTTCTAAGACTCAAATCCCTATGCACATCCAAAAACTTCT